AAGTGTAGATCTGATCTGTAACCAGATAGACACTAGAAGTAAGTGTAGATCTGATCTATAACCAGATAGACACTAGAAGTAAGTGTACATCTGATCTATAACCAGATAGACACTAGAAGTAAGTGTACATCTGATCTATAACCTGACAGACACTAGAAGTAAGTGTACATCTGATCTATAACCAGATAGACACTAGAAGTGTACATCTGATCTATAACCAGACAGACACTAGAAGTAAGTGTACATCTGATCTATAACCAGATAGACACTAGAAGTAAGTGTACATCTGATCTATAACCAGATAGACACTAGAAGTGTACATCTGATCTATAACCAGATAGACACTAGAAGTGTACATCTGATCTATAACCAGATAGACACTAGAAGTAAGTGTACATCTGATCTATAACCAGATAGACACTAGAAGTAAGTGTACATCTGATCTATAACCAGATAGACACTAGAAGTAAGTGTACATCTGATCTATAACCAGATAGACACTAGAAGTGTATATCTGATCTATAACCAGATAGACACTAGAAGTAAGTGTACATCTGATCTATAACCAGATAGACACTAGAAGTAAGTGTACATCTGATCTATAACCAGATAGACACTAGAAGTAAGTGTACATCTGATATATAACCAGATAGTCACTAGAAGTCTACACCTGATCTATAAACAGATATACACTAGAAGTAAGTGTATATCTGATCTATAACCAGATAGACACTAGAAGTAACTGTACATCTGATCTATAACCAGATAGACACTAGAAATAAGTGTACATCTGATCTATAACCAGACAGACACTAGAAGTAAGTGTACATCTGATCTATAACCAGATAGACACTAGAAGTAAGTGTACATCTGATCTATAACCAGATAGACACTAGAAGTGTATATCTGATCTATAACCAGATAGACACTAGAAGTAAGTGTACATCTGATCTATAACCAGATAGACACTAGAAGTAAGTGTACATCTGATCTATAACCAGATAGACACTAGACATAAGTGTACATCTGATCTATAACCAGATAGACACTAGAAGTAAGTGTACATCTGATATATAACCAGATAGTCACTAGAAGTCTACACCTGATCTATAACCAGATATACACTAGAAGTAAGTGTAGATCTGATCTATAACCAGATAGACACTAGAAGTAAGTGTACATCTGATCTATAACCAGATAGGCACTAGAAGTGTACATCTGATATATAACCAGATAGACACTAGAAGTGTACATCTGATCTATAACCAGACAGACACTAGAAGTAAGTGTACATCTGATCTATACCTGGCTATGCTGAATGCAGTTTAATGAGTGATACAATGCAGGCAAGCTAATAAAGCACTTTATCTACTTGGAATAGGAGATAGCCACTTGATGTTTTACAATGTCCCTCTTCTTACTTAGCAATACAGTGAATAAGAGTCTTTCACCATTACCCAATACCTGGATTGATTGTTATTGACATTTCTTAATAGAGTTGTTGCTTTCTTAACATTCGTGATGAAGGTTGGCGGTTTTATTTTTTCTATAATGAATACATCAATAGACGGTGATGTTTTGACCGGAAATAAGACTGAAAGCAAACATATTATTTTGGACTTTCTTCTTTTGACATTTCAACCGTGGACTACATTTTTGATGGCGTAGTTGACGGCGTGATTCGGTTAATAGCGTCAATGTTTTCTGTTTGCTATGTTACTTCCTTTAAGTACAACTCTGCAAGTTCTTGAATTCCGGCCTGATGACCACTTTCACGGATTTTAGGGACCCGGAAACAAATATTTCAGCATTAATGTGAAAAATGCATTTTGGAACATTTTCATTTTTTCGTTACTATGCAGTTAATAAAGACGAATATTTATTCAGGAAAATGTAAGAATACTATGAGAAAATAACCTATATCCTGTTACACATATTCTGACGCCTGTACCACAAAAAGTAGTGCGGCAACATCGGTCTCTTGCTTTTTATCTGCTTTCTAAAATCAAACCTTTCAAAAAATCACCATCAGAAAAAAATTCAATTCTAGATTTTTTTTATATTTCTCGTTTGATCTCAACTTCAGCATTCAACTGTGACGTCATAATTATGCTATCTTTGACGTGCCAGTGTCAATATTTGGTACATTGACACAGAGTTTAATTGCGCTATTTATAATATAGATACCTTATTATATCACATTACTACTACTTATCATGGAATAAGACACGTTTTATGACTGTCAATTATAAGTAAAATTTTAACACTTATATGTTATAATTCTGTAGTGACATAGGTATAAATCGATACTTTTATCATTAATTTCTGTTGGAGCCTGAACGACACAGATGACAAATTAGAATATTTGTAACTGTGTAGTTGTGTAAATATCATTTGTGACTTGTACAATTTGAGGATGGTGATATGACCACTATTATATAGATAATACCTTTACAGGTTGTAAATGAGTGGTGTTTGATTACATCTCTAGTTTTATATAAACATGGTGAGGAGACATGTAAGACATCTAAATGTAATATTATATTACATAAAACATTTACAAAGAGTAAATAAATCAGCTATGTAATAATTTGCTGTTAGAAATATTTTGTTGTCAAGGCTTAAGTGGAGCAACATACTGCTTCCGGTGTTATATGGCAATTCAATTGCACTAAATGCTTTTGTAAGGACTTGTATAAGATGTTTTGGATTTTAAAATGTTTTAGAAAATCTTTGGATATTACATGCAAATATAAGCATAACTTTTTTTTATAAAAATCAGCACGTGCATCGAAGCGTATTTACATTGGGTATGAAGTAACCGCAATGTAATAAAACTTCGATACCAGTACAAAAATACAATGTAAACAGATAAAATTCTTTTAAAAAATCTGTAACTGGAAATGTGCCAATACCTTTACTCTGGAAAATGCAAAATAGTAAACATTTTCTGCTCTATCGACGACAACCGCCAATAAATTCAAGGTCAGTTTAATGAACACCATGCTCTAAAAAGAATCCGGATGGATTCTAGCGAATCATCCGAAATCTTAACCATCATCGAGCAAAACAAAATTCAAAATATTGACTAATTGATGCTTTGATAGCATAGCAACCAATTGTAAACGTTTATATTGCATAGCAACCAATTGTAAACGTTTATATTGCATAGCAACCAATTGTAAAGGTACATATTTTGCTTCGAGAAATGTAATATTTTTATAAATTACTATTTTTCCTTATTTAGAGAGTTTAGGGGGTTTGCACTTTACTTTTATACTTACGGAAATACAATGTGATAATATCAGTTTTTGCTTTATGGTTAATAAAATATTCAAATATGTTGTAGATCTTGTAAGTTTATCATTGAACCACAAACTCCACAACCAGCTTTTCCTCACAACATTGAATAGCTTAGAAAATCGGTAGCAAACATTTGTAAACCTGTATGTTTTACCTTTGTAAACCTGTATGTTTTACCTTTGTAAACCTGTATGTTTTACCTTTGTAAACCTGTCTGTTTTACCTTTGTAAACCTGTATGTTTTACCTTTGTAAAACTGTATGTTTTACCTTTGTAAACCTGTATGTTTTACCTTTGTAAACCTGTCTGTTTTACCTTTGTAAACATGTATGTTTTACCTTTGTAAACCTGTATGTTTTACCTTTGTAAACCTGTCTGTTTTACCTTTGTAAACCTGTATGTTTTACCTTTGTAAACCTGTATGTTTTACCTTTGTAAACCTGTCTGTTTTACCTTTGTAAACCTGTATGTTTTACCTTTGTAAACCTGTATGTTTTACCTTTGTAAACCTGTATGTTTTACCTTTGTAAACGTGATTTTTCATTTCTATTATTGCTTTCCTTATTTGGGGAGGAGAATTCTTACAGACGTCTGCATTTAATTTGTCCCTGTACAGAAATAGAATGCAATAACATATGGCTGATAATGTGTTCAAATATGTTGCAGACCTTGCGATTTTATTTCAATAACAACCTGCCATATAATGAGCAGGCGAGACTATCGACCTCAGTGAAAATTGATATCGCTTACTGACATAACATAAGATTGTGTAACGTCTCTATATAGAGACTGTATTTCAAAGTTAGCTTATTGTGGAAAGAGCAGATCTGAGAAATAAATCTTCCAGGAAAATGTCACTCGAATCAACTCCTGGAAATTTTAAAAGGTATGCTAGTTTTGTTATTAAGTATATGAACACCAATGATAGTAAGGAATTTGTCCAGGCTGGAAATCACTCTACAGATTTACTGTAGATATTTAGTCATTAGTCCGTTTAATTAACATACTTTTCGGTCAATTTTGATTTCCCCAAATCGACTCCGACATGAAACAATTTAAGACATTGACGGACAAAATGATGCAGTTTATTTCAATGTTTGGCTTTACTGTATCTAATCTTAAAAATGGTAATATTCTCCTGTGTATTTTTACAAGACTTACCGCTGTTTATCTGTAAGACTCTATCCAATCAACAATATAAAATCACATAAAGAAACAAACCCGCGTGATTTCTGATTTCCGTGTGACGATATTGGTGGTGTAGAAATTGACGAAGATCTCCACTACATCAAACATTAAATATAAGAACGTATATCTTGTATGACAATGATATTTTTATGTCTGATTAAACGGACATGTATTATAATGCTGTATGGTTCCCGTATTTATCATCAGCTATAAAATCCAGTATTGATGAGTATGGTATCTAAAGTTATATATTTAATAGATTATTATATGTCATGTACAAATTTATGTAGAAAAAGGAATAAAAAATCAACAAGAGGAACTACTTACTACAGTATTATAACCATGTTAGGATCAGGAAAACAGATTGCTAACCTTTTTTTTCAAGATAATAATAATAATATAGATGATACATCAACCTTGAAGCTTTCGCTTTAATACTTATTAACCTCGTTTCTATTTTTGAAAATGTGACATTATTTGGACTTTCCATAGTATTTACATGTCGGACGATGTCCAGTAATATCACTCGGACTGACCCCGATATTGACATGTCGGACAATGTCAGTGACATCACTCGGACTATCCTCGTCATTTACATGACGGACAATGTCAATGACACCACTCGGACTATCCTCGATATTTACATGACGGACAATGTCAGTGACATCACTCGGACTATCCTCGACATTTACATGGCGGACAATGTCAGTGACATCACTCGGACTATCCTCGATATTTACATGGCGGACAATGTCAGTGACATCACTCGGACTATCTTCGATATTTACATGACGGACTATGTCAGTGACATCACTCGGACTATCCTCGACATTTACATGTCGGACAATGTCAGTGACATCACTCGGACTATCCTCGATATTTACATGGCGGACAATGTCAGTGACACCACTCGGACTATCCTCGACATTTACATGACGGACAATGTCAATGACACCACTCGGACTTACCTCGATATTTACATGACGGACAATGTCAGTGACATCACTCGGACTATCCTCGATATTTACATGTCGGACAATGTCAGTGACATCACTCGGACTATCCTCGATATTTACATGGCGGACAATGTCAGTGACATCACTCGGACTATCCTCGATATTTACATGTCGGACTATGTCAGTGACATCACTCGGACTATCCTCGACATTTACATGGCGGGCAATGTCAGTGACACCACTCGGACTATCCTCGACATTTACATGACGGACAATGTCAATGACACCACTCGGACTTACCTCGATATTTACATGACGGACAATGTCAGTGACATCACTCGGACTATCCTCGATATTTACATGACGGACTATGTCAGTGACATCACTCGGACTATCCTCGACATTTACATGTCGGACAATGTCAGTGACATCACTCGGACTATCCTCGATATTTACATGACGGACAATGTCAGTGACATCACTCGGACTATCCTCGACATTTACATGTCGGACAATGTCAGTGACATCACTGGGACTATCCTCGACATTAACATGACGGACAATGTCAGTGACATCACTCGGACTATCCTCGACATTAACATGACGGATAATGTCAGTGACATCACTTGGACTATCCTCGATATTTTAGTCAGTTGCTTGCATCAAAGAATATATTAAATAATAAACTAGGCCGTTCAACCTTACATTTAATAAAACAGTGTTTGCAAACTAACTTTTATAATGCTAAACAAAGCTTTTGTTCACTCGGTTATAATGTTTGTTCACTCGGTTATAATGTTTGTTCACTCGGTTATTATGACTATAAATCAATTTCTAATGTTTGTTTATTATGCTCTACTATATCAAATTCTAGTTTTCTATTGAAAGGATGCTATTTATATGTGTGTCTATTGTACAACCCTGTTAAATATACACAGAGACATTAGCGTGAGGTTAGCTCAATGTAATACGAACCCTGATATATAGATATGGCCGATACATTATTTATTGTCAAAATATGGAATTATTTCGAAATGACCAACTGTTCCTTGAATTAGCCTTTCCATGATTTTCGGAGATAATTAATTAATTAAGTGTTGATACATTTTCTTTTTTTATTTGACAACATCTTAAATAATTAAAAGCAAACTCAAGCTTGTAATAAAAAATGATGGCAGAGAGCCTACCTGTCTAGACGTTTCTTTCGACTGATTTGACTTAAGTTAGACCCTTGTGAGATGAAACAGCTGTATACCGCAGTTCTATCTGAAATTTGTATTGAAAGGTGCTGTTTACAGATATGCCTTTTGTACAATCTAAGGATATATCCATTGCAGAATATTGTTGAAAGCAGAGATATCAATTTTGTCTATTTAGAAAAAAAGTCATTATAAAAACCAGAATAGTATTATTTATGTTGATCTTAATTCACCATTTATCATAAACTGTGAGACAAAAGCACTTAGCAGAACTGATCTGGTAAATTATCAAATGCGGAATTATCCAGCAGCCAGTGATAAATCGTCTACTCGTAAACAATCGAAACATTTGTTTGTTAATAATGTAAATCTATCATTACTAGCGGCTTGGTATGAAACATATTTTTTTGAAAACTTTTTGGTATTTATATAATGTCGTAATAACTTGAGCCCGATACGTTTGCTTGTTTGTTGACAACAAAATATGTTTAAACAAAAAAAAAACCGGTATTTACGATAGACAATAATGCTAACGGGAAAATAAAATGAAACATCATTATAGGAGAATCGATTCATATAATATCATTTAAAATCCCTAATAATTTTATTCAACATTAACACATTTTAAATGAATAACGACGTAACAATCCTAGGAAAGACAAAAACAGGACATGCGTACATTGATCTTGTTATTGCTTACAAAATCGAATTTAAGTCTTCGTGTTTTCTAATAACTTTGCGATTCTCCGAATAAAAAGAAATTAAACTATTTTGGCACACATGGTCTTGAACCAGTTCTTAGTTCTAACATTATTTATATACATTTTGGATTTAATTGACGAAATAGTTGGGTATTTTGATCCAGATAACTCAAGTCATTCAACTTACTTCCCGGAAGAGAAGGACAAAAGTATATACCGCAGCTCTATTCATCATTTGGCTTCTACAAAATTGTTTTTATAGAAAGTCTTTTGTACTATACTATTTAGGCAGGAAGACTAGAGTCAGTAGGAAACTTTAATTAAGATACAAACATTTATAGTAATGACCTCTCCAATATGCCATCAGTAGAAGATTTAGAGCAAAAAACTAGCGATCTCGATCACACGTATCTCATGTTTTTTGTGAGATAGACTAAATATTCATCCTTTGGCCCTGATGTCATTACAGACAAAAATATGATCACTTTATAAAGAGTTAAAAGTGGAAAAAACGAACAGAGAAAAAAAAAAGAAAATAAATATATAATAAAATACAACGACAGAACAATTATTTTGTTTTTGTTTGATTTTTTTTTCTCGTTTTTTCGTTTTTGTTTTGTTTTGTGTATTTTCACTTTTTTAAAATCTAATTTTTTAAAAGTCTTTTTTTTTCTTTTTCCATTTTAGGCAAGGTGGGGGCTGGGTGGGTTTGGGCGGATGTGTGCAAATATTTTTTGTAAATACGAAATTTTCGGCAATATTAAGGAATACATCTCCCTGCCATAGAAATATACTGAAGATTATCATTACTGTGCACTACGAACTCGACATTGGCAGTTTGAAAATGATGGAAAGTGTCATATATATTTTGAAGTAATATGTTTGTTAAAACATTTTGAATAATTGTTGTATGAGGTTTACATAGAAACGTACATACTTCCTTATAGTTCCAAACATTCACCATTGATAAGTCTGCAATGTTAGCAACACTGTCATCTATTCTGTTGTTGTTATTTAATGTTGTGTCTGTTATTATATAACATTACGTAAAAGATGATGTCAATAGGTTTATATTTAACATTTAATTACTTTTACAGTAGTATAATATATCATAATAGAGGCAGTGAAATAAATGTCAAATATAATTTAAGCCAGAAACAACTAATTAAATTGTATCATAATCTTTTGTCTATGTTATTTATAATATACAATAGGGAAATGTTTTACCTTCATACAGGTAGGAATTAGGTTCATATGAGTTCTAAACAAATACTGTGAGATATACAGGCTAGAAAACATGGTAAAGCCAAGGTCAACCAAAACATTAGTATGACTTTAGAGAAAGCACATTATCAGTGTGATTTATCGTATTGGTGTTAAATAGATCACGTGATCTGATGAACACACACTCCACTTCATATATCAATTGCTACTCAAAATCAAATATAGATAAAAATGATAATGAAAATAAAAATATGTAAATTTTAATGAAAATTGTAATTGAATTGTCAATGACTGAACGTTTCATAATTCTGTTATTAATTAGACTTCATGATTTCTACTGTTGAGACGGCAAGTTATCCGTATTGTCTTTAAAATGTTGTTAATTATAATGCATAAATATTTCTTTTCCAGTAAACACCATCCTATCATCAGTGTTGGTAAGTATATACCATCATGAGAATTTACTCTAACATATACGTCTGTATAGCGTTGACCACTAGGCTTATCATACCACTGATTGTAAACATAGTGGAGTCTATCGGGGTTTGTTACAAACGATGTGTCTATAGATATGGCAAACATGATCTATAAAATCAATATAACTTCATTCAAATATGTATTCCATAGCCAAGATAGGAGATGTTTCATTGTTAAGATATTAGTTATTTCGGTATTTGAATTGTCGTTTGTGTGGGAATGTTGACGAACTATAGGTTCTGTTTCCTTGTTTAAGGTACAATTTTGTTGTATTTTTATACTTCTGATTGACAAGTAGAGGTTTGATTGTTTAAAATTAATTTTCCTGACGTTTGTAATAGCTAAAATTGTAGTTCAAATATAACAGCGATTAATTTGTGTCAGTGTAAGAGAGTAAAGATTGTCAGGTTTTTGTAAGTTGGCTTGTTTGTAGTTGACAAAGATTAATGATCTGCAATACAGCAGTCGCTAATAATGCCTAACATTACATGTTACAGTATACAGTTATCAATATTCAATACCTACCATAAAGGAAATCTTCAATCGCCATTATAATCCAATTGTCTGATATCATTTCATTTTGTTATTGAAAGTATTTGTCATTTATTTAGTAGTTTTGTCTACATCTTAATACATATCCTTGTTTGTTCAAGATTAAGCAACTTAATATAATTTATCGAGATTTGAATTGCTATCCACAAACAGTATCCATACTTTGGCATGTTTTATACGGCTGGAAATGATAAGCTCAAGGTATAATAACAATTAAGGTTAAGATAAATACATGATATATCAGTTATTTTATAGCAGCTTGTTTGTTTTAGAAAATACTCTATGGAATATAAGATATATTTTGGAGTTCATTATCGATATGATTTTCAAACATTTGTGTCATTTTTTACATAACGACTTTTCGATATATAAGATGTTTTCGTGCAACAGTCAATGGATTTTTAAAACTTAGTTTGAACGTCAGCGACATATACAAATATACGTTACAAGCGTACAAATCAATCTGGAATTAACGTGATATTTTAACTAAATTGTATCTCTTATGATTATTAGCTAAATAATTAGGACTTCTTATCTATTTAGTTTCTTAGTTGATTCTTATTTGGACCTATAATGTAAGAAGGTTTTATTTCCTTGTTGGTACTAGTAGTGTTTAACCTATGCTGACACGTGGCACACCAAATAGTATGACACAGTGTTGAATTCTAAACCGTTAGAGGTATTTTATGTAGATATTGTAGGATACAATTTGGCAGCATATTTTTGTCGTTATTGTACATCATTCATTGGTTTGAACGTCTTGCTTTTTCGTCGATAACTTTTGTGTCACGACACATACAGCCAAATGTGACTTCTTTTTCATATATACTCTTAATAACAATCACAATATCAACACAGTGTAAGAACAGGAGTGAGTCCATTATGAAAAAAAGTTATAGATAACAAAAATCCATGTGATCAATTATACATATTAGGATATAATGCTATAGTGTTACTGTGTTACAACGATTAACTTTTTAATAGTTGTAATACAAGAATCAATTAGAACCAAGAGCTGCATTTTCTATGAAACATAATACGATTACTTAGAATTGTTATAATGCTTTATAACTTTTCCTGTATGCAGAGTTACTTTCATCTTTAAACATCGATTATATAAAGCAAATAAATGACAAACGTAAAGGGTTAATGTCCGAGAAATAAAATGTCTCACTATGACTCGTCAGTTAGGCCAGTAGTTAAACGATGTAATAATGATAATAACATTAAAAATACTTTACTTTTTCTTTTTTTTACATAATTAAATTCTTCAATTACTAATTTTCATTTCGTTAACATTTCTAATTAATTATATTAAGTTTATTTTGGTTAATGTAGAGATACGAATGGTGCTGATAAACTGTGTAGGCGTAAAAAATAAAATAGGATAAAACTCAATAAATATATATATATTAAACGTTTATCAGATTTATGACAAGCAGAAAATAAAATTCATGAAATGCTGTAAAAATTGTAAAACTGTAACTATGAAATATTTTTGTCTATAGGATGGAATAGCTAAACT